TGCTGCTTTTCCTGGAGCAAACCCCGCTTTTCTGTTGCTGTGCATTTATTGTCCCAGCGAGGGAGGAGGAGCTCAGGAGAAATGCCCTGAGCAGAACTGCACACAAACGTTCTCTGTTTCTGCTGCCCTGTGCTCTTCTTGGGTTCCACCACAAAGCTGCAACCCCAAAGCTCTTCAAGGGGCTCAGATTGATTTATTGTCCTTTTCCCTGCCTTTGCAATGCACTCCAAGAAGTGCCCGGGGCCACCTCAGATGCTCCTGAGGATAAAATGCCCCATTCTGGGACTGCTTGGTGTGGTGGCGTTCACAGGGGTCCCAGGATGAGGGAAGAGATGAAAATCTTGACTCCATGTTTCAGAAGGCTGATTGATTATTTTATTATATATATTATATTAAACTATAATAAAAGAATAGAAAAAAAAAGATTTCATCAGAAGGCTGGCTAAGAAAGGAAAAGAATAGAATGATAATAAAATCTTGTGACTGACTAGAAAGTCTGAGACAGCTAAACTGTGATTTGCCATTAATTAAAAACAACCACATAAAACTAATCCCAGATGCACCTGTTGCATTCCACAGCAGCAGACAATCATTGTTTACATTTCATTTCTGAGGCCTCTCAGCTTCTCAAGAGAAAAAATATCTTAGCAAAAAGATTTTTCATAAAACATGTCTGTGACAGTTTGGTGACTGATGCTCAGTGTGGCCACCAGGAGAGCACTGCAGCACTTTCCTGCTCTGGAACTCATTTCTGCAAGCCTGGAACAGCATTCCCAGGTTTTTCTTGGAGAAACCTTACCCTCCTCAACTTCTACCTATATATAGGTAGAATATATATATATATATAATATATATATAATATATATATATTCTACCTATATATATATATAAAGATATATAATAACTGCAGATATATATAACATAATATAATATAATATATATCATATATATATATATATATATATATATATATATATATATATATATATATNCCCATTCTGGGACTGTTTGGTGTGGTGGCGTTCACAGGGGTCCCAGGATGAGGGAAGAGATGAAAATCTTGACTCCATGTTTCAGAAGGCTGATTTATTATTTTATTATATTTATTATATTAAACTATAATAAAAGAATAGAAAAAAAAAGATTTCATCAGAAGGCTGGCTAAGAAAGGAAAAGAATAGAATGATAATAAAATTTTGTGACTGACTAGAAAGTCTGAGACAGCTAAACTGTGATTTGCCGTTAATTAAAAACAACTACATAAAACTAATCCCAGATGCACCTGTTGCATTCCACAGCAGCAGACAATTATTGTTTACATTTCATTTCTGAGGCCTCTCAGCTTCTCAAGAGAAAAAATATCTTAGCAAAAAGATTTTTCCTAAAACATGTCTGTGACAGTTTGGTGACTGATGCTCAGTGTGGCCACCAGGAGAGCACTGCAGCACTTATATTATATTATATTATATTATATTATATATATATATATATATATATAAAATATATTATATATATATATATATAGGTAGAATAAATATAATATATATATATAATATATATAATATATATATATAATATATATATAGGTAGAATATATATAATATATATTATATATATATATATATATGTAGAGATATGTATATATATATATATATATAAAATAACTGCAACCGTTTTCCTCACCCTAAACACAATCAGAATCCTAAAGCTATCTACCCTAATAACTGCATGGACCAAAATTCCAGCACTTTTTAGCAAGACTTGCTCCTGAATTGATGGAAGTGGCACCCCTGGCATGGACACTCAGGCATGATCCTTCCCCAGCATCTGGGGACA